GCACTTTTTTTTTTGTTGTTGTTTAAGCCTGCTTTTGATTCAAAAACATGGACGTGGAATGCGAATTTGACGAAATGTATTGATGAAATTTAGAAATGAATCGTGTAATCTTACAATAGTTGGTTTATTCAATGAAAAAATAATTTTATTGGTTTTTGTTTAACATTATGGTTGTCTAATTGCACTAGTTCAGTGGTCGGCAAACTTTTTAGCCAAAGAGCCAAATATGAATATTACAATAATTTTTAAAACAAATTGGGAGCCAAATCTGCTTGTTTAGTAAACTTTTATTACACTAAATAAGTAGTACACTAAATAAAACTAAATTTCATACTTAATAAATATTTATTAATGCGAGCAATGTGCTTGCATCTCCTTGGAAAGTTTGAGTAAGTCAGGTTTGTATGCTGTTGTTTTTAATTTTAGGCATGATTCCAAGTTCTCATCAATAAGAGGACTTCTCAGTTTACTCTTGATAATGTTCATGCTTGAAAAAGATTGTTCGCATATATATGTAGAACCGAAAAGGTAAAGAACAGCAAACGCGAGCTTTTTCAGCTGATCGTAAGAGTCAGGAATACTATTCCAAGCGTTGAATATGATCATGTCTTCCTTCTCCAGGTCATTCAAAGCAGACCACTTGTGTTGTGATGCCAATTTGTACCCAGACTCCTTTAGAAAAAGTATGCACGCATGCTTGTGGTACCTTTGTATCACACCGGAGTACCCCAAAAACATACGAACAATTTCAGCCTGTAGCTTGTACGTGGTTTGTGTTTACGTTTACGAAAACTAATAAACTTTAACTCGATGTTCGTTACGTATTTTTACTACAATATAAAATTTTAATTACCTATCTACCTTATTTATTACCTTTTAATTTAAACAAAAAATTATACATGTTCTCGATTTATAGAAGAATTTTAATTTATCAAAATAAGATGTAATTTTTTTCTTAACAAGTTTTTTTTAAAATGAAAATATTATTGCGCCTTCCGTGGACATTTGTGCCAGAGGCGCACTTAAGAAGCCAAAGAGCCACATGCGGCTCCGGAGCCGCACTTTGCCGACCACTGCACTAGTTCCATAAGAAACTAGATATATTTTCACTATTTTAAAATTATAAATTATATTTATATTAACTATATTGACTAAGTTAACCCATTCGCGCCGACTGTCGCAAATACGTGCCAGCATAAAACCGTATCAATCAGGGTAAAAAGATAAAACTGGTAATCAAAGTATTTCTTTAGCAGTTTAGTTGTGGGCGGAATTATAATTGTTTGATTAATTTAATTCACCATTACTTTGTTCAAAATAAAACTAGTTATACTTTGAATTAACATTGATTATATATACGATTAAACTAACAATAATTAAAGTAAAAGCAAAGTAAAGCAAAGTAAGTCTGTCAAATTAGCAACGACTACATTTAAGTTACCGTTTTTTATTTAATTACAACTTGATTCTGATTTTGTACGAGTGCTTTTCTGAATCACCCGTCCCCAAGGGGTTAAAGGAAGTTAAATAATCAATAGAAGTTCAATAATATTTTTTTTTAAATATTAATAATAATATGTTCTATTCTTTATCGCGGAATTCGTCAAAATCTGTGAACTGCCAAATTTTTCTGTTCACAGATTCACAGTTTTACGAAAAACAAAGCATCTTGAATCGCATGCCACAGCAGCTTTAAAAAGATAATCTACGTCCATTGTAAATGTTTGTATTGATTTTGTGGTCAAATTTAAAATGATATTCCCTTACGTTAACGGTGTAAAATTTCTTATTAGGGAGATTTCGCACTTTCACTTTAGCTTCCGTACGTAAGATTGAAGGAACAGCGCATGCCCCGATAATGAAAGATGCTACGTATCTTTCAGTAGTACTTTTTAAGAGAAAGTTCAAAACAATAAGGGGCTATCCACAAATTGCATCGTGCATTATAAAACAAGCTTTATTAAAAATGAGACCGGCATTATGGGGGATCATCCCCCATAGAAGTATGTTTTCTTTTGCAAGTTTTCTTTTTCTATACCATCAAAGTTAGTTTCCGGACGATTATTGTAAGGTATTATCATTTGTTATTAAATGTTGTCTGATGATATAAAATAAAATTCGTGAAAACCCGTTTCGAGCTTTCTTTTGAAAAGTACGAAAACTGCTTCGAAAGTTGAGTGATATTTTTTGGATTTTTAAGATCTTCAAATAAAATATTTTGTATTAGTTGCCAAATACGATTCACTACAAAATTATAAGAAAACTTTTTAAAATTTTTCAGTGCATGTGCAGTATACAAGAACAAAATAACTCATAACTTGCGCAGTTTTTGAAGAATTTTTTTTTAAATCGACAATTTCGTAATTAATCTTAAATTCTCCAAAAAATTTTTGTTGAATTAACGAAAAACCGTAAGGTGAGAAATTATTTTTTTATAAAGATGTTCATATCTCCATAAATATTTATACTTTTATTACTCTAGTTTTAGGGAACTTTATACAGTTATTAAAAATTGTAACTAAAGTAATAAAAGTTACAAGTTTTTTGTTTGATTTTTTGGGGTAAGATATAAAAACTTTTTTTAAA